CTATACTCTAGAGTGCAGTAAAATTTAAACATCGTTCAAGTTTACTGTAGAAAATGGACTATAATGAACTCTACGATGTTTAAACTCCTAGAGGAACATGTGGCAAGTGAGGATGATGCAGCTGTATAATGACACACTTAAGGGATGTGTCGCCTCCTCCTCCTCCCCCTTACCTGTGGGGCGGCATTTACTCTACCGGCACTGGGATAATGATCACAGGTTCTGTAAAGACACCACAGAAGGGGAAACTGAGCCAACGTAAGGACAGACTACGCATCAGAGACGACCCATTATGCAGCTGTCCAGGCCGCGAATGGCTTTGTTTACTGACTGACTTTTAAGACTTGACTGTCCTTGGTCGCTTAGTGTGATAAAACAAATATTAAATTAAACTCTATTTTTAAAGGCATTTAAATTACATAGAATGATACATTATGTTTAATTTAAGTATGTGTGTGTGTGTGTTTACTAATGTGTTTTTGCGGGGGTTGAGCTTTGCTCTTTCGGCCCGCCTCTCAACTGTCAATCAACTGTTTACTAACTACTTTTTTTTTTTTTTTTTTTTTCCCCACACCACACACACACACCCCAGGAAGCAGCCCGTTACAGCTGACTAACTCCCAGGTACCTATTTACTGCTAGGTAACAGGGGCACTTAGGGTGAAAGAAACTTTGCCCATTTGTTTCTGCCTCGTGCGGGAATCGAACCCGCGCCACAGAATTACGAATCCTGCGCGCTATCCATCAGGCTACGAGGCCCCTGTGTGTGTGTGTGTGTGTGTGTGTGTGTGTGTGTGTGTGTGTGTGTGTGTGTGTGTGTGTGTGTGTGTGTGTGTGTGTGTGTGTGTTCAGAGGTTTGTTGCACTTTGATTGTCTATATTCCGTATTATTTATGAGCAGTGTAATATGTGCCAGAAGAACATGTGTGTCCAGCACATCGTTAGTAGTGGCAACATCTCTTTAAGGCCCGAAATCCTACCTTTAGCTCATGGCCCGATGTCTCATTAGGGCAGGTATAAGACTTACAATACTCTTCTCCAGGACGGTTTTAGGCCAGGCATGGCACGAGATGTGAAGACCTTTGTAAATACTTGCCAGGCATGTCAAATGACATCCGACATGTCATATGCCATACATGTCAAATACATGCCTAATGTTCCCATTCCTAAGGCATCACTCATACCAATCCCTGTTCCGTCAGAGTCATTCTCTAAATTGATCATTGAGTGTGTCGGGGTCCCTAACAAGAGCCAGGTCCGGTATCATGTGTATCATCACCATTATGTGTCCAACCACCAGGTTCCCAGTAGCAATTCCCGTCAAGAACATCACAGCTGCTACTGTTGTAAAGCGTCTGCTGAAGATCTTCACCCAGTATGGTTTCCCTAAGGAGATACAAAGTGACTGTGGAACTAATTCCATCAGTGAGTTGTTTAAGAAAACCCTTCAGGAATTTAACATTACCCAAGTCTTGTCTAGTCCACATCATCCTGCTTCACAGGGATCTCTGGAACGTAGTCATCACGCCGTCAAATCAATGTTAAAGAAATTTTGTATCAGTGCTGAGAAAGATTGGTATAATCAATTAGACCTCCTAATGCTTATTTTCAGAAGCCTTCCAAATGAATCCCTTGGAGTATCTCCTTATGAGATGCTTTACGGACGTAAGTGCCGTGGAGCTCATTTAAATAATATAATAATATCAATAATTTAAAAGCTCAAAGCTTTTAAAGATTCATTAACTTCAGACACCTTTAGTGATTCCCTTAATGTCTCTCAGTTTCTTAAAAACTTGAGACATAAAGTAAAACAAGTTCATAAGTTTGCTAGTGCTAATTTATTGACCTCCCAAAGTAAGATGAAAGTACACTTTAACAAATATTCTAAAATAAGGAAGTTTAAAATAGGAGACTGTACTTGCCTATTTTCCTATGCCAAGCTCTCATTTTCAAAGTAAATTTTTAGGACTTTATCGCATTAAAGACTTCAAGAACAACAACAACTACATTCTAGAGACTCCTGATCGGCGTTGCAAGACACAACTCTGTCACATCAACTTACTCAAAGCATATCAAGGTTTCAACTTACTCGAAGCATATCAAGCACCATCAATATTATCTATATCCGCTTTTACGGATAAGTGTTCCAACAGTGACACATATCTTGCTACATCTCCACCTGAGTGTGATAATAATGATCCAATGTTACCCAATTTAGAAATAGTAAAAGATCTCCCCGAGTGTCTGCAACATTGGTAATAGTGCTTTTACTTATCAAACTAATCTCTACCCATAAAGAACTGTTTCAAGACACTCTTCAGGAATGTACTTTAGTGCAACATGATATACAGCTGCTTCCGGATACGATGCCCATCCGACAGCCGTACTACCGCTTCCGTCCACAGAAGACAGAAGCCATGTTAACTGAAGTACAGTACCTCGTCAACAATGGACTAGCTACACCCTGTGAGTCCCCTTTGGGGCCTCGCCTTGTATACTGGTACCCAAACCTCATGGCGAGGTAATATTGAGCACAGATTACCGAAAGGTAAACTCTTGTCACAGTCAGTTGGTCGTTTTCACGCCTTGAAAGAGACCAACGTTGTTTACGCCATCACGTGCCCACTTGGGGATTGTCAGCCCCAATGAACTCAGTACATAGGTAAGACAACAACGTCCCTCTCTAGGGGATTAACACTGTACTAACAACAGGGCCCATCAAGGAACATATAATCTCCACACACAACGAGACGATCACCAGGGATATTGTGACGAGCAACACCGAAATAACTGACAGATACAATGGCAATAGAAGATTAGACATTAATGAGACACTGCATATCAAGAAATCTAAACCAGCAATCAATAACCAGCTAATACACAATTACACTCTACCTACTTCAAGACCTCGGGCCAACACAGAAGCCGGACCGAATGACCCTTTAACAGGAACGGAAGCAGCCAGAACATAAGCTGCCAACATGTCACTCTATGTTGATACATTTAATACCTTATCAATATCCCCCAATGTAATGCCATTTATCCATATGTTACCTAACCACCTCACCATTAGAGGGTATAACCAGGTGCTAATCACGGTAGAATTTGTCTTTGAAAATGTGAGTAGTGACCAGTTTCATCGGCTTTCTCGATGAAACTGCTCAACATCTGGTGATGTTGAGTCCTTTGCCTTTAGCTACTTAGCTTTAGGAGACAGGAGTTGTAGTTCTTGTTGTTTTAGATTTAGCTACTCAGAACGAAATGTCCTTGTAGCACGGGCTATAGTGAGCCTGAAATTGAGTTCGGTTATTCGCGATAACCTTGTAACTGTGATGTTTGGGTCAAAGATTTAAATAGAGGTGGAGTTTCTTCCTTTTTTCCCGTTTCTTTTCTGATTCTGTTTTAGCGCACTGGTTTTAGTCTTGTTTTAATAACATTATCTTGGTGGCGGATATAGATGCAGTGTTCACTAGTGTGTCCCATTCTTCAACTGCTTTTCTTATCATTGTAGTCGCTGTCGATTTTGTATCTAATGCAGCTGCTGTCGTTGGATTAATGTTGAGTTTGATGCACAGGACATCAGTTCTTCATATTCCAGTAAGTAATGCAATAGTGGCGTCTCTGCTTCTGTTCCACAGATATGACACTCTTTAACTATTGGGTTTATTACCTCCCAGCAGCACTTGTTACCAAGTCAGAGTCTGTGTATGGCTACTGCAATGTCTCTGGATATCTTTTTTGTCAGGCTTGAAAGAGTAGTACCCAGTGGCTTGTTTGTACCACATCGCGGTGGATCTTCCTTCCGCTACTTTGGCTCTGTGGCGACTTTTGATAGTTGGGAGTATTTTCTTCTTGATTTGCTCCTTAATCTGTGAAAATTTGGAGGTATTTTAATCTGTACAACAGGTAGAGCAGTAACAGTTTTTGCTTGTGAGTCTGCCTTTTCATAACCATCTATGCCACTGTGACTTTGTATCCAATTTAGGGTGATTGACAACCCTAAATTGTGTGCTTCGTTACCTATATGTAGGATTTCTGTGAGGAGTTGGATATTATCTCTGTGGTGGCTAGATAACAATGCCTGGAGCGAAGATTTAGAGTCGGTATGAATGATGACATCATGTAAATTATTATCAATTGCGTAATTTATGGCCTCCTTCAATGCATATAATTCTGTTTGTAATGTTGAGCACCCACTATCCATGCTCCAGTAGCTTCATGGTTGGTAGTGTAAACTGCTGCCCCAGCAGAACCTCTTTCTTGATCAACTGATCCGTCTGTGAAGATGTGAATCGTTGTAGGTCTTGAGATGGTTTCCATCTTTTATTCAATGACTGCTTTGAGCCTCTGCGGGTCACATGCTGATTTTTTAACTGGTAATTCTTCAGTGATTATCTTTAGACTCAATTCTCCCCATGGAGGAGGCTGTCGAAAGTGTTGATATGGTGTATCTTCTCAATTGTTTTTAATGGTCCGTTTCAAGTCCACTTTTTCTAGAACCTTGACTAGATATCTGTCCATGCACTAGTTCTATATTGAAGATTTCTGTGAGGCGATCTGTGTATGCTATCTTTGATTGGCAGACTGACGGTGGTTCCAACACTTTTTGCTGTTATGGTGGTTATTCCTTGTTTGATCCTGTCTTCTAAGGCTGGTAAGTTGGTTTCCATTCTTAGATTCTCTCGACGCGTCCCAGGTGCTCCCAGCATTGTTCTGAGGGCATTGAGTGTGTCGGGGTGACACACACTTTTGTGACACTTCCAGTTTCTCCCATTGGTTATCACTGAGGGATGTAAGAGCAGAAGCAGCATAGTAAATGAGTGACCTAACTGCTTGAACGTTGCACATTTTAAGTACTGGTAGAGATGCATCATCTCTAAGACTTGTCAGGGAGAGCAAAGCTGAGTTTCTGGCTTTACAACGTTACCGAAGATATTCAATTTCTTGAATGAATTTCAACTGGCTGTCTATTATGACTGCTAGGTATTGAAAGGAGGTAACTCATTCAATTTCGTGTCCTTGTATTGCAAGTCTGATGTCTCGAGTTCTCCTTTTAACGACCATTGCTTTGGTTTTATTGCTGATTATTTTCACTGCTATACGTTCCGCTTCCCTGCGCGGGAAAATTATGCTGATGTTGTCTAGGCATTTTTGTACATGGTTCTTGGTGCCTTTGCCATTGATGATGACCGCAAAGTCCTCTGCATTGTTAAGTAGTTTGGGTTTTAGTAAATAGAACTTCATGAATTGTTCCATGAGATTGTTGAAGGGGAATGGGCTTAGTATTCCTCCCTGCGGAGTCCCATTTTCCAGCTTCTTTGAGGAAGATGTTTTTCCTTGGAATTTGACTTTAGATTCTCTGCTAAGCAGACTTCTTATAGCAAAGGCAAGAGCGTGTCCTTTGAGTTCCTTATCCACCAGGCAGGACAATGTAGCTGGAGCATTGGCTAGTTCGAAGGCTGTTTCTAGGTTCAGAAAAATAAGGATTCCTGGTTTGTCATTGATTTGATCCCGGAGGGAGGTAAGGCATTCTGTTGTTCCAACACCTTTCATGTAAGCAAACATATTTCGGTACAGTGGATTGGCTTTCCATTTAATTCGATTAAGAGCTATTCTTTCCGCAGTTTTGTCCAGACAGCTTGTTAATGAGATGGGTCTTGGATTTCCTGGGTCTTTGGGTTTGGGAATTTGAACTATAATTGCACTATTCCAAGAGAGTGGTCGGTTTCTTGTCACCCATACTCTGTTGATGAGATTCAAGAAGGCTTCTTCACCCTTTTCGCCTAGCTTGGCTAGGCGAAAGTTGTAAGTGATTTTGTCCTCACCTGGAGTTTTTTTTGTATATATATACAAGAGTTGTTACATTCTTGTACAGCCACTAGCACACATAGCGTTTCTGGCAAGTCCTTAATCCTAATGTTCCCCGTGATACGACCCGCCAAATTGTTTAACATCTAGGTACCCATTTTACTGTCGGGTAAACAGAGGCTACAGTTCAGGATTGGCGTCCAGTAAATCCTCCCCCGGGGAGGATACGAACCCAGGCCAAAGAGCTCGCGAAACGCCAGGCGAGTGTCTTACCACTTCGCCACAGGGACTGTGTGTGTGGTTTTTAGTTTTCTTTGTAGCTCTTCTGAGTTCTTTTAGAGTGAAAGGTTGGTCTAGTTCGTCAGGCTAACTGTTCCACTGTCCCTGTGCGAGGACGCTGTTGTTTATTTGCCTGTTTAATGTGGAGTGAGGATAGCACCCTCCTTGTCGATCGCAGGGGTGACCACATCTGGGTGTTGTTGTCACCGTGTGATCGACATCTGGGCTGAGTGTCCACCTATGTACCTCAGGTGAACAGGGACACCTGTCGTAGTTGGTGTGGAACCATGGGGCAACCTCAGTCAGGGTGTCACTGGACACTATGAAACATGCCTGCTACAGAGAACGTTAGTAGAGTACCAGGAGTTAGAGCTCCGACACTGCTGCCAATTATTGAAATATGTGCTCTAGGATGGAATTAGTATTCAAACACTTCTCCATTCCCTGCATCTGTTGGTTGCACCTGACTGTTGCAGTGACCTGGTGAGTTCGCCTATTGAGCTGCTCACAGGAACGAATCATTAGTGTCTGGCGTTGCGATTTGGGCTTGCACTACTGCTTGGACCTAAACAATTAACATTTTAAGAAGTCTTTCAGCGCCTTCAGAGCTGACCTCTCCACGTGGAGACCACTTAGCATCACAGTGTTGTCTTCCACGTAGCTCTCTGGCCACCTCCACTCAATCTTCCTGGCCAAGGACGGAAGGGGCTGATCGAAGGTGACTATTGGCGTCTGCCCTGGAAGCAAATAATCGGCAGAATTCTTCACTACGTCAACTGCTAAGTGCCGGATCATGGACCCCAAGCACTCTCAAGAAAGCACTTGAGAGTGCTTTCAAGAGAGTGCCCCCCCACTCAAGAAAGAGTGGAGGGGGGGCAGAGTTAAATTAGACAAATTAGACAATTTTTTATTCTGTTCTGTAATGTGTCTCCATATGTCTGGGAGTTAAGTAGCCTCCACTTCCACCGTCTAGACAACGGAGTTCAGTTAGTCATTATATTTAATTGCAACCATTAGTGGCCGTTTATTAAAAGTGCGTCCACGGCCGTCTGGGCCCGGAGCCACCATGTCAGATTTTCAGATTATTAATAAATAATTTTTTGTTGTCGGGATGATGACAGCCACCGTGGAGGATGGCAGGCACTCTGGAAGGATGGCAGGCATACTGGGAGGATGGCAGACACTCTGGGAGGATGGCAGGCACTCTGGGAGCATGGCAGGCACTCTGGGAGGATGGCAGGCACTCTGGGAGGATGGCAGGCACTCTGGGAGCATGGCAGGCACTCTGGGAGGATGGCAGGCACTCTGGGAGGATGGCAGGCACTCTGGGAGGATGACAGTCACCTAGTGACTAAAGCAGTCACCATGGGAGGATAGGAGTTACCCTGGAAGGCTGGAAGCCGCCTTGGGAGGATAGCATTTACTCTGGGAGGATGAAAGTTACCGTGGGAGGATTACAGTCAGTCAGGGGCCAGATTCACGAAGCAGTTACGCAAGCACTTACGAACGTGTACATCTTTCCTCAATCTTCGACGGCTTTGGTTACATTTATTAAACAGTTTGCAAGCATGAAAACTTCCCATTCAACTGTTGTTATTGTTATAAACAGCCTCCTGGTGCTTCGGAGCTCATTAACTGTTTAATAATTGTAAACAAAGCCGCCAAAGATTGAGAAAAGATGTACAGGTTCGTAAATGCTTGCGTAAGTGCTTTCGTGAATCTGGCCCCTGGGCTGCACATATAGTCGCCCAGGTCTCACGTCATACCGTGTTGGGGCTCTCGGTCACAATGTTAAAGAATCCAATTGAAACAATTGGTGCCGACACAGCATTGTGATCCACAACACTCTTTGGTTATGCAGTGAGCATTTCCCTCCGGCTGCCTGTACTCACGTGGCTTTTGCATGGTTGGTAAGTGGTTGATGTGTGGTTCCTAACGTGCCGGCTTAACATATTGGTTGGTAACTTATGGGGCTATAGTGTGGGGGTTAAATTGGTTGCTGTCTGGTTGCTGCTACCATTAATACAACATGTAGTACTAGTAAGATTATGCTGCCACTACTGTTAGTGCTACTATGCTGCCAGTACTGCTAGTACTACTATGCTGCCAGTACTGCTAGTACTACTATGCTGCTAGTACTACTATGCTGCCAGTATTGTTAGTACTACTATGCTGCCAGTACTGCTAGTACTACTATGCTGCCAGTACTGCTAGTACTACTATGCTGCCAGTACTGCTAGTACTACTATGCTGCCAGTATTGTTAGTACTACTATGCTGCCAGTACTGCTAGTACTACTATGCTGCCACTACTGTTAGTGCTACTATGCTGCCAGTATTGTTAGTACTACTATGCTGCCAGTACTGCTAGTACTACTATGCTGCCAGGACTGCTAGTACTACTATGCTGCCAGTACTGCTAGTACTACTATGCTGCCAGTACTGCTAGTACTACTATGCTGCCAGTACTGCTAGTACTACTATGCTGCCAGTACTGCTAGTACTACTATGCTGCCAGTACTGTTAGTGCTACTATGCTGCCAGTACTGCTAGTACTACTATGCTGCCAGTATTGTTAGTACTACTATGCTGCCAGTACTGTTAGTACTACTATGCTGCCACTACTGCTAGTACTACTATGCTGCCAGTACTGCTAGTACTACTATGCTGCCAGTATTGTTAGTACTACTATGCTGCCAGTACTGTTAGTACTACTATGCTGCCAGTACTGCTAGTACTACTATGCTGCCACTACTGCTAGTACTACTATGCTGCCAGTACTGCTAGTACTACTATGCTGCCAGTATTGTTAGTACTACTATGCTGCCAGTACTGTTAGTACTACTATGCTGCCAGTACTGCTAGTACTACTATGCTGCCAGTACTGCTAGTACTACTATGCTGCCAGTACTGCTAGTACTACTATGCTGCCAGTACTGCTAGTACTACTATGCTGCCAGTACTGTTAGTACTACTATGCTGCCAGTACTGCTAGTACTACTATGCTGCCACCACCACTACTGCTACTATGCTGCCACCACCACTACTGCTACTATGCTGCCACCACCACTACTGTTACTATGCTGCCACCACCACTACTGTTACTATGCTGCCACCACCACTACTGTTACTATGCTGCCACCACCACTACTGTTACTATGCTGCCACCACCACTACTGTTACTATGCTGCCACCACCACTACTGTTACTATGCTGCCACCACCACTACTGCTACTATGCTGCCACCACCACTACTGTTACTATGCTGCCACCACCACTACTGTTACTATGCTGACACCACCACTACTGTTACTATGCTGCCACCACCACTACTGCTACTATGTTGCCACCACCACCACTACTGTTACTATGCTGCCACCACCACTACTGTTACTATGCTGCCACCACCACTACTGCTACTATGTTGCCACCACCACCACTACTGTTACTATGCTGCCACCACCACTACTGCTACTATGCTACCACCACCACTACTGTTACTATGCTGCCACCACCACTACTGTTACTATGCTGACACCACCACTACTGTTACTATGCTGCCACCACCACTACTGTTACTATGCTGCCACCACCACTACTGCTACTATGCTGCCACCACCACTACTGTTACTATGCTGCCACCACCACTACTGTTACTATGCTGACACCACCACTACTGTTACTATGCTGACACCACCACTACTGTTACTATGCTGACACCACCACTACTGTTACTATGCTGACACCACCACTTCTGTTAATATGCTGCCACCACCACTACTGTTACTATGCTGCCACCACCACTACTGTTACTATGCTGACACCACCACTACTGTTACTATGCTGACACCACCACTACTGTTACTATGCTGACACCACCACTACTGTTACTATGCTGACACCACCACTACTGTTACTATGCTGACACCACCACTACTGTTACTATGCTGACACCACCACTACTGTTACTATGCTGACACCACCACTACTGTTACTATGCTGACACCACCACTACTGTTACTATGCTGACACCACCACTACTGTTACTATGCTGACACCACCACTACTGTTACTATGCTGACACCACCACTTCTGTTAATATGCTGCCACCACCACTACTACTTCTACTACTACTACTACTAGTGGCAGCAGCATACTATGCTGCTACTACTACTAGTGGCAGCAGCATACTATGCTGCGGCTGCTACTACTACTAGTGGCAGCAGCATACTATGCTGTGGCTGCTACTACTACTAGTGGCAGCAGCATACTATGCTGCGGCTGCTACTACTACTAGTGGCAGCAGCATACTATGCTGCGGCTGCTACTACTACTAGTGGCAGCAGCATACTATGCTGCTGGTGCTACTAGGAATAATGAGACGGGAGCTTGCCTCTGGGTTTGTCTGGCGGTCTGGAGACCTCCTGCTGGTGGGCGGCGACGGGGGCGGTGAGGGCGGGCGTGGGCGTGTTGGTGAGGGAGCGGCGGGCCACGTCCTCGAAGGTGATGGGCGAGTAGTTCCTGGAGACGTTGGAGCCCCGGCGGTCGTTGGGCAGGTCCGTGGAGACAATGGGCTGCGGCTTGGACACCATGGGGATCTTCTTGGGCACCCGCCCCTCGCACTTGTTGAGCCAGTAGGTCTTCATGGGTCCTGGGTAGGAGGGGGGGTGGTGGGGTTAGTTAGGGTGTTATTTGTGGGTGGGTGGGTGTCTGTGGGTGGGTGGGTGTCTGTGGGTGTGTGTGTGTGTGTGTGTGTGTGTGTGTGTGTGTGTGTGTGTGTGTGTGTGTGTGTGTGTGTGTGTGTGTGTGTGTGTCTGTCTGTCTGTGGGTGTGTGTGGTGTGTGTGTGTGTGTGTGTGTGTGTGTGTGTGTGTGTGTGTGTGTGTGTGTGTGTGTGTGTGTGTGTGTGTGTGGGTGGGTGTGTGTGCGTGTGTGTGTGTGTAATTACCTAAGTGTAGTTACAGGATGAGAGCTACGCTCGTGGTGTCCCGTCTTCCCAGCACTCTTTGTCATATAACGCCACATATATAACGTGTGTGTCTGTCTGTGGGTGTCTGTGGGTGTGTGTGTGTACTCACCTAGTTGTACGCACCTAGTTGTGCTTGCGGGGGTTGAGCTCTGACTCTTTGGTCCCGCCTCTCAACCGTCAATCAGCAGGTGTACTGGTTCCTGAGCCTATTGGGCTCTATCATATCTATACTTGAAACTGTGTATGGAGTCAGCCTCCACCACATTGCTTCCTAATGCATTCCATTTGTCAACCACTCTGACACTAAAAAAGTTCTTTCTGATATCTCTGTGGCTCATTTGGGCACTCAGTTTCCACCTGTGTCCCTGTGTGTGTGTGTGTGTGTGTGTGTGTGTGTGTGTGTGTGTGTGTGTGTGTGTGTGTGTGTGTGTGTGTGTGTGTGTGTGTGTGTGTGTGTGTGTGTGTGTGTGTGTATGTGTTTGATAAGTATTTGGTTTTGATAACAGTAATATTCATGAAGATACAGATTTGCGATCTTTTTAGAAAGGGGAAAGAATACGATATATTTTTTGCGTGTTGTCATAGGGTTTTGGAGGATTGGTACATGTGACTCCTGGCAGAAGAAGCAGCGCAATGGTAAGCCTATAGCCTGGTCATAGCTTGAAGGTCTCAGGTTCGACTCCCTCGGAAAATGGGTTCGGGTAACTTTTTCTTTCATGATGTCTCTGTCCAGGGCATCAGAGGTGGGACTGGACGCCCTAATCTGTGAGGGTGTTACATCGCTGGGGGCCACCAGTGTGGGTCCTGGGACCAGTGTGGGTCCTGGGACCAGTGTGGGTCCTGGGACCAGTGTGGGTCCTGGGACCAGTGTGGGTCCTGGGACCAGTGTGGGTCCTGGGACCAGTGTGGGTTCTGGGACCAGTGTGGGTCCTGGGACCAGTGTGGGTCCTGGGACCAGTGTGGGTTCTGGGACCAGTGTGGGTCCTGGGACCAGTGTGGGTCCTGGGATCAGTGTGGGTTCTGGGACCAGTGTGGGTCCGGGGACCAGTGTGGGTCCTGGGACCAGTGTGGGTCCTGGGACCAGTGTGGGTCCTGGGACCAGTGTGGGTTCTGGGACCAGTGTGGGTCTGGGGACCAGTGTGGGTCCTGGGACCAGTGTGGGTTCTGGGACCAGTGTGGGTCCGGGGACCAGTGTGGGTCCTGGGACCAGTGTGGGTTCTGGGACCAGTGTGGGTCCGGGGACCAGTGTGGGTCCTGGGACCAGTGTGGGTTCTGGGACCAGTGTGGGTCCGGGGACCAGTGTGGGTCCTGGGACCAGTGTGGGTCCTGGGACCAGTGTGGGTCCTGGGACCAGTGTGGGTTCTGGGACCAGTGTGGGTCTGGGGACCAATGTGGGTCCTGGGACCAGTGTGGGTTCTGGGACCAGTGTGGGTCCGGGGACCAGTGTGGATCCTGGGACCAGTGTGGGTTCTGGGACCAGTGTGGGTCCGGGGACCAGTGTGGGTCCTGGGACCAGTGTGGGTCCTGGGACCAGTGTGGGTCCTGGGACCAGTGTGGGTCTGGGGACCATTGTGGGTCCTGGGACCAGTGTGGGTCCTGGGACCAGTGTGGGTCCTGGGACCAGTGTGGGTCTGGGGACCATTGTGGGTCCTGGGACCATTGTGGGTCGTGGGACCAGTGTGGATCCAGGGACCAGTGTGGGTCCGGGGACCAGTGTGGGTCCAGGGACCAGTGTGGGTCCGGGGACCAGTGTGGGTCCTGGGACCAGTGTGGGTCCTGGGACCAGTGCGGGTCTGGGGACCAGTGTGGGTCCGGGGACCAGTGTGGGTCCTGAGACCAGTGTGGGTCCTGGGACCAGTGTGGGTCCTGGGACCAGTGGGGTCAGATGACCAGTGTGGGTCAGGGGACCAGTGTGGGTCCGGGGACCAGTGTGGGTCTGGGGACCAGTGTGGGTCCTGGGACCAGTGTGGGTCCTGGGACCAGTGTGGGTCCTGGGGCCAGTGTGGGTCCTGGGACCAGTGTGGGTCCGGGGACCAGTGTGGGTCCTGGGACCAGTGTGGGTCCTGGGACCAGTGTGGGTCCTGGGGCCAGTGTGGGTCCTGGGACGAGTGTGGGTCCTAGGACCAGTGTGGGTCTGGGGACCAGTGTGGGTCTGGGGACCAGTGTGGGTCCTGGGCCCAGTGTGGGTCCTGGGACCAGTGTGGGTCCGGGGACCAATGTGGGTCCTGGGACCAGTGTGGGTTTGGGGACCAGTGTGGGTCCTGGGACCAGTGTGGGTCTGGGGACCAGTGTGGGTCCTGGGTCCAGTGTGGGTCCTGGGACCAGTGTGGGTCCGGGGACCACTGTGGGTCCTGGGAGCAGTGTGGGTCTGGGGATCAGTGTGGGTCTTGGGCCCAGCGTGGGTCCTGGGACCAGTGTGGGTCCGGGGACCAATGTGGGTCCGGGGACCAGTGTTAGTCCTGGGACCAGTGTGGGTCCGGGGACCAGTGTGGGTCCGGGGACCAATGTGTGTCCTGGGCCCAGTGTGGGTCCTGGGGACCAGTGTGGGTCCTGGGACCAGTGTGGGTCAGGGGACCAGTGTGGGTCCTGGGACCAGTGTTAGTCCTGGGACCAGTGTGGGTCCGGGGACCAGTGTGGGTCCGGGGACCAATGTGGGTCCTGGGACCAGTGTGGGTCAGGGGACCAGCGTGGGTCCCGGGACCAGTGTGGGTCAGGGGACCAGTGTGGGTCCTGGGACCAGTGTTAGTCCTGGGACCAGTGTGGGTCCGGGGACCAGTGTGGGTCCGGGGACCAATGTGTGTCCTGGGCCCAGTGTGGGTCCTGGGACCAGTGTGGGTCCTGGGACCAGTGTGGGTCCTGGGGACCAGTGTGGGTCTGGGGACCAGTGTCGGTCTGGGGACAAGTGTGGGTCTTGGGACCAGTGTGGGTCTTGGGACCAGTGTGGGTCCTGGGACCAGTGTGGGTCCTGGGACCAGTGTGGGTCCTGGGACCAGTGTAGGTCCGGGGACCAGTGTGGGTCCTGGGACCAGTGTGGGTCCTGGGACCAGTGTGGGTTCGGGGACCAGTGTGGGTCCTGGGACCAGTGTGGGTCCTGGGACCAGTGCGGGTCTGGGGACCAGTGTGGGTCCGGGGACCAGTGTGGGTCCTGGGACCAGTGTGGGTCCTAGGACCAGTGTGGGTCAGAGGACCAGTGTGGGTCAGGGGACCAGTGTGGGTCCGGGGACCAGTGTGGGTCTGGGGACCAGTGTGGGTCCTGGGACCAGTGTGGGTCCTGGGACCTGTGTGGGTCCTGGGACCAGTGTGGGTCCTGGGACCAGTGTGGGTCCGGGGACCAATGTGGGTCCTGGGACCAGTGTGGGTCCTAGGACCAGTGTGGGTCTTGGGACCAGTGTGGGTCCTAGGGCCAGTGTGGGTCTGGGGACCAGTGTGGGTCCTGGGCCCAGTGTGGGTCCTGGGACCAGTGTGGGTCCGGGGACCAATGTGGGTCCTGGGACCAGTGTGGGTCTGGGGACCAGTGTGGGTCCTGGGACCAGTGTGGGTCCTGGGACCAGTGTGGGTCCGGGGACCAATGTGGGTCCTGGGACCAGCGTGGGTCTGGGGACCAATGTGGGTCCTGGGACCAGCGTGGGTCTGGGGACCAGTGTGGGTCCTGGGATCAGTGTGGAATCAGGGGACCAGTGTGGGTCCTGGGACCAGTGTGGGTCTGGGGACCAGTGTGGGTCTGGGGACCAGTGTGGGTCTGGGGACCAGTGTGGGTCTGGGGACCAGTGTGGGTCTGGGGACCAGTGTGGGTCCTGGGGACCAGTGTGGGTCTGGGGACCAGTGTGGGTCCTGGGACCAGTGTGGGTCCTGGGGACCAGTGTGGGTCCTGGGGACCAGTGTGGGTCTGGGGACCAGTGTGGGTCCTGGGGACCAGTGTGGGTCCTGGGGACCAGTGTGGGTCTGGGGACCAGTGTGGGTCCTGGGGACCAGTGTGGGTCTGGGGACCAGTGTGGGTCCTGGGACCAGTGTGGGTCTGGGGACCAGTGTGGGTCTGGGGACCAGTGTGGGTCCTGGGACCAGTGTGGGTCTGGGGACCAGTGTGGGTCTGGGGACCAGTGTGGGTCTGGGGACCAGTGTGGGTCCTGGGGACCAGTGTGGGTCTGGGGACCAGTGTGGGTCTGGGGACCAGTGTGGGTCTGGGGACCAGTGTGGGTCTGGGGACCAGTGTGAGTCCTGGGACCAGTGTGGGTCCTGGGGACCAGTATGGGTCCTGGGGACCAGTGTGGGATCAGGGGACCAGTGTGGGATCAGGGGACCAGTGAGGGATCAGGGGACCAGTGAGGGATCAGGGGACTAGAGTGGGATCAGGGGACCAGTGTGGGATCAGGGGACCAGTGTGGGATCAGGGGACCAGTGTGGGATCAGGGGACCAGTGTGGGATCAGGGGACCAGTGTGGGATCAGGGGACCAGTGTGGGATCGGGACCAGTGCGGGATCAGGGGACCAGTGTGGGATCAGGGGACCAGTGTGGGATCAGGGGACCAGTGTGGGATCAGGGGACCAGTGAGGGATCAGGGGACCAGTGTGGGATCAGGGGACCAGAGTGGGATCAGGGGACCAGTGAGGGATCAGGGGACCAGTGTGGGATCAGGGGACCAGTGTGGGATCAGGGGACCAGAGTGGGATCAGGGGACCAGTGTG